GATTTGTGTTTTTTTGTTGTCATGCTACTATTGCTTCTTTTTTTTTTTATTATTGAGATTTATAAGTGTATGATGTTTTCGAATTTGATAGGCATTGTTCTTTGAACAGAACTGGAAAATGTGATTATGAAAAAATATAAATATGTTTTATTAAATTAATAAAAAAAATCTTTTTATAAAATGTTAAATTTTATTTTTAAATATTTTGAATAATTTTTTTAGATGATAATATGTACAAATTATAGAAAAAAATAATTGAATCAATTCATAGTTTGACTCGTGACCTATAATGAATAGATTAATATCAATTTTTATTGACCCGTGAACCATTCCAACTTGACCTATTTTGACGCATGACCCATTTTGACTTGAACCACCTGTTTGCTAAGACTAGTGTCATAATTTAAATTATTTATCCTTAACAAATTCTTTGCGTTGGAATAACCACAAACCAATAACATACTCTATTCTTCCAAAATAATTGTTGTTTTTTAATTATAAATTTGTTTTAAATTAATTTTTTTAAATAAATAAAAAATAAATAATTTAAATAATATATAAAATTATATTAAAAAAAATAAAAAATTATCCTTAAATATATATATATTTTTTAATTCGTTTGGTTGCAAGTATTTAATTATCTTATCTCGATGGTATACTTGTCATTTGCATGGATGTATATAAATGTTTTGTTAGGAGAGGTTTGTGAGAATTTTTTCTTTCCAAAAGCCCTAGATTTCTCAAATCGACCTCGTTACAGCTTGCAACAGTTGTTTCCCCCAGATTTTTCTTCGTCGAGAGCGGAAACCTGAACGCGGACACTGGAATTCACCGGAATACCTCAGCATGACGGACTACGAACAACGGTATCAAGACGTCGACAACGACTATGCCGGAGGTGATACCTCTCCTCAGCCTCGCGATAGCAGCTTCGGTGGTCCTGACATTCAGAGCGATTCCAAATCTCAGGTGCGCATATTGTTCTTAATGAGACCGCATGAATCGAGATTATTGTCTAAATTGTTATTATTTCTCTTTTGTGTTTTCTCCTAGTTATATAATTTTTTCTAGTTTATATGGATGTTTTGTTGCTTTCCATTGCATTTTGAAGTTGTGGAAGCTGCAGATAATAATGTTTTTGCATTGGATTTAGCTTTTATGTTTCAGAAATTTTGCTGCTTTAGAAGTTGTTGCTAGCAATAGGTTTGTTCGTTTTGAATTTAAACTACAAAACACACATCTAAAGATAGTTTTTGTTTTTCCTGCTGGTTCTCTTTCTTTCCTTTTGTGGAATCACCAAAAATCAATGACAATAAGTTGTCCTGCGGTAATATTCGTTGTTGTTACTGTTTGGTTCCTCAGTGTTTGGTATTTCATTTTCTCTTGGTTATCTTCCGGGTGTGAGAAATCATGGTTTATTTTTAAGATTATGCAGGTAATAATTTCTGTTCTTAACTTTTTTATATGCAGCAAGGATCTCGTGATTATGAGAGGGATTCCTCAAGAAGCAGGGAAAAGGAGAAAGGGCGTGATAAGGAGAGGGATAGGGGAGATCGACACAGGGATAGAGACAGGAACAGTGAGAAAAGCAGAGATAGAGACCGAGACAAGGATCGTGACCGCCATCATAGAGATCGTCACCAGGATAGGAGTAGGGAGCGCAGTGAGAGAAGGGAGCGGGGTAGGGACAGAGATGATGATGATTATTATAGAAGCCGAGATTTTGGCAGGTAATTTAAAGTTTTGAACTAATGTTGCCTGTGCCTTGAAATTTCAATCAATTTATCTCTATTGTCGTTAGTGGAACACGTGGTGCCTATCTTGGATACTAGACTATGGTAAAAATTGTTAACTATGTGTAGATATATTCTGTCTGCTTTGGATAACGAAGATAAGATGGTTTCTTGGTATAATAGCAAATAGGGGACCAGTTTTATTTATTAATTTTAGTCTTAATTATTGCTATTGGTTAAATGTTACTGGCAGGCGAAGAGATTATGATAGGGATAGAGAGGAGAGGCATAGACGACAGTCACGATCCCATTCAATGGGTAGATCTGAACGCAGATCAAAGTCACGTTCTCGGTCTCGGTCTCGTTCAAAGAGGTATATAGTAAGTTAAAGGATGTTATGAATTGGATAGTCTGTTGTTCTTTGAGTAAATTTGATACAGTCAGCATCCAAAAAAATAAAAAGATACAGTCCCTTCTCCCCCTTAATTTTCTTCTTTAACTGTCTTCATATTTTGCAGTTCATGCCAATTTTTTATTTAATCACAACAAGTGGCTATTTGTTACTCTTCTCTCTCTTTTTCCTCTTTTTCTTTTTCTTCCTGGCATGCGTGCCTTGTCAGAATGATAGGTAATCTCTGTAAGAACCACTTCTTGTGTAATTAAGCAGCATTACCCAAAGTTCCTGATCATGTTCAACAGGGTTAGAAAGTAGAAATGCAATATTGGTGACCATCAACCCAGCCCCTTTACTTCAGAATGCCAAAAGGAAACCTCATATATTGATAGTTTACTTAACAAACTTATAGCAGTACAATGTCTTATTTTTAATGCTTATCATTGGCTAGGTTTATTCATCTCAATATATTAACAGTTTTTACTTGCAGCAAAAGGATCAGTGGTTTTGACATGGCACCTCCTGCTTCAACAATATTAGCTGCTGGTGCTGCAGCCACAGCAGGTGCATATACCCTCCATATGTTTGAGAGTGGCATACTTGTTTAACTATTACTTTTTTGTTTTTTTCTTTGATCTAGTGTGGAAAAGTTCACATCAAAATACTGGTGTGATATTGGTAAGCCATATATTACTTACATTTTGTATATATAGCTTCTTAAGTGTGGTCTCTGGATGGGCTGTAATAAGTTTTAAAATTTTTTACATGGTGAAATAATTCTGGCACTGAGAGTTTTGGTTTTGTGTTGTGTTTGGTGTTTGTTTTTCTGTTTGTGTCTGTCTTTGTTGTAAGAAGGCAATGGCGTGTGCCGACTTCTGTAGCCTTTTTGTACAAGGAGGAATCAAATGCACCAGTTTGATGGTATTGTTCGTCTTCAACTGGCAACTATGTCCTAAATATTTCCTCCAGAACTTTGTAGATGATGTATTTTAACTCAATTATGTAAAACAAAAGACCTGAGGTTTGATTATGCTACAGGAAATGATGCATATATGTCTTTGGTTCTTCAATTGCTATATAGATATTTCTTTCATTTTTGAATATATTCTAATATCAATTTTCAACATTTCTTTTCAGCCCAGATCCCTGGTACCAATGCAACTATACCTGGAGTGTATCCTAACATGTTTCCTCTAGCCACCAGTCAGGTATGTAATTCTCTTCTGCATATTTTATTGTATCACGATTTTTATGCATTAATTATGTTTTCTTTATTCTTATGCAGCAGTTTGGTGCTCTTCCTGTAATGCCAGTTCAGGCAATGACTCAGCAGGTTTGGAGGATTAAGTGTATATCATAGTTAAACATATATTTTGCTTTTTTATAACTGGAATTTGTATGGTGATTTTTCTCTTTCAGGCCACTAGACATGCTCGCCGAGTGTATGTTGGAGGCCTCCCTCCTACAGCAAATGAACAGGTTTTTACCATTGATCTGTAATTGTAGTTGTTACTTATGATGTTGTGGTGAAAACTGACCTTGTATATTTTGTTGCAGTCTGTTGCAACCTTCTTTAGTGGGGTCATGGCTCTAATTGGAGGGAACACTGCTGGTCCAGGTTGATTGATGTTTGCTTTATTTTGTTTGAAGGATTACGCTACCCTTATTCCCTGTATTTTTGCTAATCCCTCTGTTCATCACAGGTGATGCTGTTGTTAATGTGTACATAAATCATGAAAAGAAGTTTGCTTTTGTGGAGATGAGATCAGTTGAGGAGGCCAGTAATGCAATGGCTTTAGATGGGATTATTTTTGAGGTGCTTTAATTTCTTGTGGATCTTAGCACCTTTGTCTAAATAGATTTTATTCAATTACATTAAGTACGTTGTTTTGACATGTTTGAATTTCCAGGGAGCGCCTGTGAAGGTGAGGAGACCTAGTGACTATAACCCATCTCTTGCTGCAGCACTTGGTCCAAGCCAGCCCAATCCAAATCTCAACCTTGCTGCTGTTGGTCTAATTCCAGGTTCTGCAGGTGGATTGGAGGGTCCAGACCGCATTTTTGTGGGAGGACTGCCCTATTACTTCACCGAAGCACAGATCAGGGAGTTGTTAGAGTCATTTGGTCCGCTTAGGGGTTTTGATCTTGTAAAAGACAGGGAAACTGGAAACTCCAAAGGCTATGCATTTTGTGTTTATCAAGATGTTTCAGTTACTGACATAGCTTGTACTGCTTTGAATGGAATTAAAATGGGTGATAAAACTCTGACTGTTAGGCGAGCAAACCAGGGTACTAACCAACCAAAACCTGAACAGGAGAGTGTACTTCAGCATGCACAACAGCAAATTGCTTTACAGGTAGATTACTTTTCCCCTTTTTTAATTCCATTTTTTTATGGTTATTGCTTTGAATTTCTAGGTTAGGGGTTTACTTTTCTGTTGTCTTTCAGAAGCTTATGTTACAAGGCGGATCTGCCACCAAGGTCATGTGCTTGACTCATGCATTAAGTGTAGATGATCTCAAAGATGATGAAGAGTATGAAGACATCATGGAGGATATGAGACAAGAGGGTGGAAAGCATGGTAAAATTCATGGACAGTCTTTTGACATCATTTCACATTGAGCCATTGTTTACCCTCCCTAACTTGAGAATCATCCTCTTTATATTTATCAATTTTTTTTTATTTCCTTGTGTTTATGTGTCTGTCTTACAGCCTTTTGTAGTCCCACATTCTGCTATAAAGAATCAGGCCTAACATACAGACAGAAGACTCTATTACCCTGTCTATATATACCCGAGATTGTGTTCTCTAACTAATTTTTTTGTTGAACTCCAATTTTTTGGATTCGAAATTTTCACACATAATATGCAGGTGCATTGGTGAATGTTGTCATCCCACGCCCAAACCCTAATGGAGAACCTTCACCAGGTGTTGGCAAGGTCAGTATGAAGCTTATTTGCCATATTCTGTCTCATCGGACCATGTTATGTATGACTGAATTTTGTTGGGTTCTTTTTAGGTGTTCTTGGAGTACTCAGACATTGAAGGTGCCAGAAAAGCCCAAACCGCAATGAATGGGAGGAAATTCGGCGGAAATCAAGTTGTTGCAGTTTTCTATCCTGAGAACAAGTTTGCCCAGGGGGAATACGAAGGCTAATTACCATGCCTCGTTCAGTTGGATCATATTATGATTTTCTATTTGGGTCAATAGAGTTAGATGGTTTATATAGAATTCTTATTAACAGCTTGCTCTGGTGTTTGATATTTTCAATTTTTCTTCCAAAAGTAATGTAAACAAATTCAGTTGATGGAAAAACAACTTTTCCGTTAATCTGTATTCTGTCTCTATTTGACTCTATGAATTCTAGTGTTCACTGGTGTTGGACTAACACTGTTAACTTCTTCCCTAAATAGTTTAGGGAAATATTTAAAGAAACATATGCTCCGTTTGGTTTGTGGTAAAAATGATTTTCTGAAAATTGTAAGTATGGTATTCTCTGTCCAAGGCCTGCACAAACACTTCTTATTTTTCAGAACACTTACATTGGAAGGTCGTTTCTGACAAACCTCTCTTATTTCTGTTTGATTGAAAATAAGGTATGATACTCAAGTAAATCTTTTATAAACTGAATGTTGCTCTGGTTTGGTAGTTTGCATTTTCTATGACCCTTTTGTTTGGATTGAACGAATAAAGAAGGGAAGGGAGGAAGATGATCCTTCAATAAAATGAAGGCGATGAGATCAGGAGACCTTTTCTTCATATGGTTGTGTTGGGGTGGGGGGACTGTTTTTTTCCACCTACTATTTGGTGTCGTTTTGTTTGAGGGAAGTGATCCTCTTACTCCAAATGTATGATTAACTCTTAATTTTTTAGTTAGGGTTTAAATGAGTTGAGCCCCGTGTGTGTTTGAATTTAAATTGAAAACTCCAATAAAGTTTGAGTCACACTCAAAATTTAACTTAACTTATTTAAAATTTTAATTTTTAATTTCAAT